ATCCAGGCCTCAGCCCTCCCCCCTCAGACCTGGGGATCCAGGCCTTAGCCCTCCTCCCTCAGACATGGGGATCCAGCCCTAGCCTTCCTCCCTCAGACCCAAAGATCTAGGCCCAGCCCTCCTCCCTCAGACATGGGGGTCCAGGCCCCAGCCTTCCTCTATTGGGATCCAGGACTCCCCACCCTACTTCTTTTTATCCTAGGACTCAGGAGCTCAGGCCCCAGCCCTTCCTCCTCAGGGATGGGCAGTGCAGGGGGCCCACAGCCCTTGCTCTTGTTGGGAGACTAGACACTAAGGACCACATTCGAGCTCCTCTTGTGACTGAGCCTTTGTTTTTCCATCTGAGAACTGGGGGTGCCTCTGTGTTCTCTTCATCTCCCCTTAATCTTTGCCTCCTCTCCCCAGCTGCTGTTCACCCAGAAGACAGACCGGCAGCTGCTAGTGCTTCAGGACCCCGCCAGCCACTCTGCTGCCACCTCTACCTCTTCCTGCCTCTTCTCTGTCCACAGCTCCCTGCAGGTGCCTCCCCTGCTTCCTTTGCCCATGCGCCTGTTTGGTCAGTCGGGAGGGAGGGCCTAAAAGCAGAGCCCAAGTCCAGAACTTCCACTGGGGCTCTGTGTGGGGGCGAGGGAGATAGGGAAGCTTGATCAAGGGGTATTTGATGATTCCAGTTTTATTTATTTATTTTCTTCCTTCTGCCTAACACCCCACCTCTTCCCTGAAGAAGTAAGAGCATGTGCACCCAGAAGTAAATTTTAAAAGTGACCAAACAGGGTGTATGGGTAAGAAGGTCTCTGTCCCTGAAGGCCCCTAGGCCCTCTCTCCAGAAGTAGGGCAGCTGCTTGGTTCTTGATCCTTCCAGAACTCTGTACAAAGGGGGCCCCTTGAGCTGTGGGTGTAGCTCAGTGGCACAGCATTTGCTTTTCTGCATGAGGGCCCCAGTTTGATCCCAAGCACCACAACACAAACTACCCCCAAAACCGGGAGCCCCATTTTCTTAATGGCTTAAACATTTATTGAATAGGTTGGTGCTATTATTTATTTTTTTTAAAGAAGTGGAGCAGAAAATATCCAAGTGCTATGAATGAAGTAAGGGTAAATATTACACAGGAAAAAAGTCTTATTTCTGTAAGCACTTAGAAATTGGTAGCTCTCATTATATCATGTAAACTTCTTTTACCCCTAAAATGTATGTACTAGCTAATTGTTTTGGGGTTTTTTGTTGTTGTTGTTGTTGTTGTTGTTGTTTTTAAGTTATATATGACAGCAGAATCCAGCTTGATATAATTATCCACACATGGAATAACTTTCTCTAGTTAGGATTCCATTCTTACGGATGTTCTTGATGGTGGGATTCACTGTGTTGTTTTCATATGGGTACAGGGAAAATGATGTCAGATCCATTCCACTGTCTTTCCTTTGTTGTTTTTAATTTTTTATTATCCTTCTCCATTATGGAAACTGTTCTCTGTTGATACATTTAGAGCTGCCTCATCATTTTTTTTAAACATTGAGTTCTTTTGGGAGACTCTGGTTTTGTTTTGTTTTGTTAATAACTTTATTTATTTATTTATATGTGGTGCTGAGGATCGAACCCAGGGCCTTGCGAATTCGAGGCAAGCACACTACTGCTGAGCCATAACCCCAGCCCCAGCCTCATCATTTTTAATGGCTGTAATAATAATATAAACGGTAACAATAGTAGTAATAACAGCTACTTATCAAGTCCTTGGGAAAGTGCCCGACATGCTTAGAAATGCTTCATATAGATTCACCCACTTAACTTTTTTCCCACCCACTTATTTTTAAGGGGCGACAGATACTGGGAATCGGACTCTGGGGTACTCAACCACTGAGCCACATCCCCAGACCTATTTTGTATTTTACTTAGAGACAGGGTCCTGTGGAGTTGGTTAGCTCCTCCCAGTTGCTGAGGCTGGCTTTAAACTTACGATCCTCCTGCCTCAGCCTCCCAAGCTACTGGGATTACAGGTGTGGGCCACCGAGCCTGGCTTACCTGCTCAATTTTTGCAACAATTCTACAGGCAGATTATCTCCATTTTATTGGTGAGGAAACTGAGGCAGAGAGGTTAAGTTCCTTAGCTAGGTGCCATGTGCCAAAGCTAGGATTTGAACCCAAGCATTCTGTTTGCATAGTCTGTGTTCTTTTTTATTGTATTTTAGGTGGTGATGGGGATGGAATCCAGGGTTTCTTGCATGCTAGACAAGTGCTCTGCCACAGAACCCCAGTCCCAGCCATGACAATGTTCTGGCTTCCGTGTGGCACACAATTCTATTGTGGGGCATTGAGCTGCGCTCCCTCTGTAGGCAGTGATGGAAGGTTTTGCAGTTTAAGCAGTGTTGTAAAGAATACCTGTGTGTGTGTGCACGTGTATGCATTTATGCAAAATATAACATTCATGCAAACAATGTTAATTACTATTATATCACCAAATACTATTATATTGAATATAAGCATATATTATTGTATTATATTATTATACATAATTTATATTTCATATTCATGAATTAATATTTAAAATTACTTTAAAAATGTTTATTACTTAATACTTATTAATGATCATTAATAACAATATTCCATTTTTAGCATTTAGGATAGGCCAGGGTCTGTTCAAAGCCATTCTGTCCCTTTGTGCCACGTGGGATTATTATTATGTGGAGCTGAGAAACAACTCCTGGCAATTTCACGTGGTTCAGCCTAATATACAGAATTTCATATCTTTCTCAGAAGAACCCCCAAGAGCAGGACCTATTATTATTTGGGTGACGGTTAATAGATTTAACTTTCTAGCTGGTTCTTGTGGAAATCTGAGAAGCTGGAGTTTCAGCTATGTTGCTAGATAGTGTGGCCAGAGCATAGTAGATGCTCAGTGAGAGCTGCTGTTTTTGTGCTTATTAGTATTATTATAGTTATTTTCATCCTTGATCTATTCACCTCACCCTCATCTATTTTTTTTTATTTTTTGTAACTGCATCAGCCTCTCACTAATGTTCCCATTTTAATTCTTCTTTTCCCAATAATTTGTTATTTTTCTGTGTGCTAGCATTTGAATCCAGGGCCTTGCATGTCCTAGGCAAGTTCTCTACCACTTGAGCTACAGCCACAGCTCTTTTTATTTTTGTTATTATTATTATTATTAGAGTGTGTGTGTGTGTGTTGCTGGGGATTGAATCCAGGGCCTTGTGCATGCGAACAAGCACTCTACCAACTGAGCTATATCCCCATCCTTCTTGTTTTTTTTTTTGAAGCAGGATCTTGCTAAGTGCTAAAGCTGGCCTCAAACTTGCGATCCTCCTGCCTTAGCCTCCTGAGTTGCTGGGATCGTAGGTGTGCACCACCATACCAAGCCCAATAATAATTCATTCTTCACACAACAGCCAGAGTGATCCTCATCCTTCCTGCTTTAATTCCTCTGTCCCCAAGGCCGTCAGTGGCTTCCCAGGCTTCCTCACCATGAGCTGCAAGTGCTGATATGGCGCCCGCATGTCTCACTACTCCTCCCTATTCACTGTGCTCAGCATTGATCCACCAACATTCTATACTTTTTTATGCCCCAGGGCCTTTGTACTTACTGATCCTTCCACTTGAAGCACCATCCCCCCCAGTTTTCCCTGAACAACTCATCCTTTGGGGCTGGGAGTTGGTGTTCAGAAGGCTGTACCTGGTTTTCTAATTAGAAAATGATCCTTTTTGATAGTACTCTGTTCTCTTTTCACACAGCAGTTTCTGATGATGGGTTCATTTGTAGGATGGCTCACTCAGTTCCTTATAATGGAAGCACCATGCAGACAAAACTGGGGTCTGCATTGCCCAGTCCCATTTGCCAATTATCCAAGAGCTCCCAGCCAGGAAGTGCTGGAATGTGGCTGAAGGAAAGCCCAGGGACTTGGGTCTCAGTTTCCTCTCTGTGAAGTAGAGTGAACATTTCCCAACTCAGGGTTTTTTGTTTTGTTTTGTTCAGATAGGAGTCTCTCTACCTTGCTAGGGCTGGCCTTGAACTCACAGACTCCTATGATCCCTTGACCTTAGCCTCCTAAATTGCTCGGATTACAGATGTCACCACCACACCTGGCCTCACAGGGCTTTTAGGAGCTTAAGTGGGCCTGCAGAGTGCCAGGTACAGTCATCCCTTGGGACTGTCAAGGATTGTCTCCAGGACCCCCAAGGAGACCTATATCTCAGGAGACTCTAGTCCTTATATAAAATGTTAGAGTACTTGCAATTAACCTGGTCACATCCTCCTGTATTCCATAAAGCACTGGAGATAACTTATAACACTTACACATGATGGAAGTGGAAATGGTTTTTGTACTGCGTTGTTAAGTGAATAAGGACAAGAAACAAAGTTTGTACATGTTGAGGAGAGATACAATTTTCCTTTCTTGCAAATATTTTTGGCCTGCATCATATTGAATTCAAAGATGCAGAACCCACAGATAAGGAGGGAAAACTGTATGCTGGAGACAGATAATGAGCTCTTGATAAATGCCAGCCATTTAAAAAAAAAAACTTAATATTGAAACAAGACAAGTGTGGAAAATCACATCAAACAAATGCACAGCTGAATTATCATATGGGAACATTCTGGTAAGTGCCACTTGTGTTACGAGATAGTACCTCCCGGCCAACTTGTAATTCTTCTTTATGAAGTCCAGAACAGGTAGAACTATGTATCTGTGGTTTCATAAGTCAGAAGAATGGTCCCTTGACAGATGTGTCACTGGCCAGGAAGAGGGACAAGGAAGCCTTTGGAGTGATGGGCCTGTTCTGTGTCTCCATGTGGGTGGCTGGTATGCAAGTGTAAATACATGTACATTGTACCCAGTTGCACGTGTGTAAGTCTGTGCACTTCTCACCTTATTATATATATGGATATATTATTTATGCATTTATATATATGTGTATGTATATATACACACATACACATACACATGTATGTGGAGGTTTATTTATTTATTTATGGCTGTACTGGAAATTTATTTAAAACTGAGCTATATCCCTAGCCCTTTTTATTTTTCATTGTTAAAGAAAATTTTTAATGTATATACTTTTTTAGTTGTAGATGGGCACAAGACCTTTATTTTTTATTTATTTATTTTTATGTGGTGCTGAGGATGGAACCCAGTTCCTCACATGTGCTAGCCAAGAACTCCACCGCTGAGCTCCGGCCCCTTGTTTTTCATTTTGAGACAGAGTCTTGCAAAGGTGCCCAGGCTGGCCTGGACCTGTGATCCTCCTGCCTCGGCCTCCCTAGTTGGGATTACAGATGTGCATCACTATGTGTAGCTCAACTTCAGAATGCTTTCATTAACCCCCAAAGAGCTGGGATATAGATAGCTCAGTTGGTAGAGTGCTTGCCTGGCATGCACCAGGCCCTGGGTTCAATCCCCAGCACTGCCAAAAAAATAAAAAATAAAGAAACCCTGCACCCCAGAGCCACCACTCCTCAATTTGCCCATCTCTCCCAGCCCCTGGTGATCACTATTCTACTTCCTGCCTCTGTATTTATTTGCTCTATATTAATTTACTCTGGACACTTTATATAAATGGTGCCACAGACAGTGTGGGCCTTTGCAGTTGGCTGCTTTGACTCATGTTGACAGTTAGGATTTTGGATGGCAGATGTAACTCAGTAGTAAAGTGCTTGCCTGGCTTGTGCGAGCCCTTGGGTTTCATCCTCAGCACTGTGGGGGGAAAAATACAGATTTTTGCTGGATGCAGTGGCGCATGCCTGTAAATCCAGCAGGTTTAAAGGCAGCCTCAGCAACAGCGAGGCACTAAGCAACTCAGTAAGACCCTGTCTCTAAATAAAATACAAAATAGGGCTGGGGATGGGGCTCAGTGGTTGAGTGCCCCTGAGTTCAATCTCCAGTGCCAAAAAAAACAAAAAAAAAAGATTTTTGATCTGTGCCCATTAAGTGGTAGTTTTACTTGGCAGTTCTCTAACTTTCTGCTGAGATGGAACACCTCTTCCTGAGTGCTTGGGCCTTGCATGTTTTCAGGGTTCCTTTGGTCTCCAGAGGACTGGAAGCCTGCCCCGGAGAAGAGGAGAGAGAGCGAGCCAGAGAGGATCCCCACGGCCTCTGTCCCTCCATTGTACTGGTGAGGGCCTCTCCCATTCCCCCCTACTCTCCTGCCCCCACCTCCTCCCATCCTGCTGCAGACTATGGAGACGGGGCAGGGAGGAGCAGAGGGGCTTGGGCCTGGGAGTGTCCTGGCCTCCTCACGTGGTCCCCTCTCCCTCAGGACCCCTTGAGGCCTCGACTCTCACACCAGCAGTGGAGGCCTCTGGGAGACACCCGCTCTATCAGCTGCTAAACTGTGGCCCTGGGAACAGGTGAGACATCGGGGAGAAGGGGTGGGGAGATGGGAGGAAGAGGCCCAGGCCTGGTAACCCGCCAATCTCTGTTCCCTGGTTCCAGCTGCAGGGCCCTCCACCCAGACATCGCTCACATGGAGAAGCTTCTGCATCAGGCGATCGCAGAGAGGGAGCGGCTGGTCAAGGCCAGGGTGAGACTCGCTCTCCTTTAGGAACAGGAAACCCCACTTCAAATCCTCTTCCCTCAGACCCCGGGGACCAGGCCCAGCCTCCTCCCTCAGACCCAGGGGACCAGGCCCAGCCTCCTCCCTCAGACCCAG